ACTGAAGGGAAGGATTGGCATTGGGAACAGGAAAGACAGTAGAATGAATCAGACATAACTTTCATGTGTTCATATATTGTGGGAGACCAATCTTGCACTTGACTGAGTCACACTCCCCGGCTAGGTTCGAGGAGCTCAGTGGAAGAAATATGGCAGAGCTTTCCCCACCCTTCTTGGGTTCGAGGGTAGGTGTCTCATGCATGGGTGTGTCTTCCTACAGCCCCAAGGGTGAAGCTATGCTCACCTGTTCCTTTGTAATATAACCCCTTGCCCTGTTTAGGATAGAATCTTCCATGGAAGTGCCTTGTGTGTGTCCCCTTCTTTTACTGTGCCCTTGGGTATGCCCTACCCAGGTGTCAGTCAACCTGCTGACAGTGGACATCATGAAGATAGACTCTCAGCCCCCTGAAACCTGACCCCTTGCCTCATTTGAATAGCTTCTCCTCAATAAAAGGGGTCAGTGCATGCTCTTGCTCTCTCTCTTCCTGAACTCTTAAGGTCAGAGAAGCCGTCACAGCGACCCCAAATAAAAAGGTATCTGTGTCTCTTGTGTGGTTATTTCGTGCAGCCCAATTAGGCCAGTTTAACTGGAGTGACCCCTTTAGTCGAGAGAACAGAAACCCGGCAATATATAAATACAGAACCAATGTAACTCCACATCATGTATAACCATGAGAATGGGAAGTCATGCTCCATGTATGTTTGGTATGTCAAAATACATTCTACTGTCATGCATAACTAAAAAGAATAAATTTTAAAAAAGAAAGAATAGAAATATTACTAAAACATTACTAAAATGAAAGAAGTAATGTTGATGGCCTGGAAGACAATACTGTTAAGATGACAATACACAATTCTTTTTAAAACTCCAATGGCCTCTTTTACAGAAATGGAAAAACCAATTTCCAAATCATATAGAACTGCAAGGGGACCCAAAGAGCTCCAAAAGTGTCAAAATAAAAAAAAAAAAATGAAGACTTACACTCTTTTTATATTTTTGAGACATGATCTCACTATATCGCCCAGGCTGGTCTGAAATTCCTGGACCAACAATCCTTCTACTTCAACCTCCCACGTAGCTGGTTCTACCGTTGTGTACCACTGTACCTGGTTCCAGAGAATTCAACGCTCTTTGGTTCAAAACTTACTACAAAACTACTGTCATCAAAACAGAATGGTGCTGGTATGAAGAGGGACACATAAATTAATGGAATAGAATTTAGAGTCCAGAAATGAACCAAACATCTATGACCACTTGATTTTCCACAAAGGAGCCAAGAACAATGGGTCTTCAACAAATGGTGTTGAAAAAAGAGGGAAGTTGGATGCCTACTTCATCCCATGTACAAAAATTCATTCAACCCAGTTGTGATGGCGCCTGCCTATAATCCCAGCTATTTAGGAGGCTGAGGCAGGAGGATCACAATTTTGAGGCCAGCCCATACAACTTAGCAAAACCTTGTCTCAAAATTTAAAAAATAATAATAACAACAAAAAGGGCTAGGAACGAGGGGCTGGGGATGTGGCTCAAGCGGTAGCGCGCTCTCCTGGCATGCATGCGGCCCGGGTTCAATCCTCAGCACCACATACAAAGATGTTGTG